CTATACCATATCCTGAGACTTAGTAATTTCATATCAGTAAGATATAACGCGTTATGTAAATAAAGTGAGTGACATATGCTGTTGATATCAGACCGCTGTAAAAGTGGTGCATATTAGCTCTTAAATAACCTTATGATTTTTATTAGTATTTTGACTTCATGCGACAAAATTTAAATTTTACAAAGTATGGTTTCCCAGCAACTCAATGATAATTTGGATTGCATTCATACAAGTACAAATATGTTATGAATTACTACACAACACTATGACAGCATTTAGGCGCCATGTTGACCTACGTTACGTCTTTAAAGTAAATTTGTATTTTTAATCATTCAATCATGACTGCGTCTGCTAGTCAACTTTACTGACGAGGCACCTGGTTTAAAGGGGCATTTGGATGAAAGTTTGGTACAATCATGATTGTTATTTTCTCTGATTAATGGCAACTAACAATAGTGTTTTCTTATTTGTTAATTTCTTTTAATATATATTCTAGATTCTGATTTTTTAGTCTTAGCGTTATCAAATGTCACTCTATAATTCACTGACTAGTTGATTGATGTGTCTGACGTTTGCTTGTTTTTGTAAAGAGAGACCTATCATAGGCTATGCTTTTGCCCAATTCCTTTTGTCATCAATATCCTGACAATAAAATATTTTGTAGTGCAATAAAGACATTACGTCAATGATTTGAACGTCACCTCAGACACAACGTGTTATATATCATATATTATGATTCCGTTTCTTGAGAAATACCAAATTTTCAATTCCTGTGAAACACAAAATTTCTACCATCTAAGCCGTACCGTCCCTGACAAAATATCAAGGAACGGATACGATCGTGAAATAATCACAATGCGATAAGAAAAAGATATTTGGAAAGAAAACCTTTTGTTAAGTTGTAGCTCAATGAAGAAATACCACGGATCTCGTTCATATTCCGAGCAGGTGTTAAATCTACAAGTATTACAACATATACACAACATAATTTGGAGGAGGCATGTTTCCAACAGGAAATGGAAGGTTCATGTTATCATGTTATTTTGAAGCTTTGTAGTTGACATCACGCTGTAAACGAATCTGGAAATGATTTAATGGAGTCCATAGTGTTGTTGACACACAGGTTCAGGCAAGGGAGATCAATACAGGCTTATTGCTACTTGTTTTGTGATAGATTTCATCCAAATATATGTAATTAATCTAAAAAGTGATGGTGGGTTACTTTGTATCCGGAAATTATATCATCAATCAATGCTGTGTCCACTTTTCCAATTTCTGTGGATTTCTTGCGTATCGAATAATGTGACCAGAGTACTCGAAAGCATGTATATTTATCTCTGCCGACCCCCGTTGATAAGGTATTGCCATTATTTTAGGACGCTCTTGTTTTGTTTCAGTTTAGTTTGAACGACCCTATTCATTGGCACTATCCTTTGAAACGTCGGGTAATTGATACTGCTGCTGTGCGTGGTTTTCGTTCATCGAAAGGTGTATGACGTTTTTAGACTCGTAGTTCGGGTATCCTTTTATCATTCTTATTTGCTATGCAATAGTGTTTCTTCTCCACAATTCTTTCGCTTGTGGTGAGCCAAAGAATCAAGGAATCTAATAATAAATCTGGTACAGAATGAGCAATTGCACCAGTTTGGTCGGAAGTTCTTTAAAAATTTCATAGAGCATTAAAAAGTATCAAAGGATTATTGTAAAGTAATATCACTGTAACCTTCAGTTCGAAGTTTGAATGCCACTGGTATAAATGCTGGTTATTCTTAAGAAGCTTTCGATTACGATACACACGAATGAAATTTACGTTCTGGTCATAAACATGTACTGAACAATATCATCACAGAAACATTATTGGAATGCATCTCTTCTTTCCTAATAAAGCGATATTGAGTAATTTCATTTTAATAGCAGGATGCTACGGAACCACATTACATAACTTACGCAATTTTAATCAAGGCCAGCAGGATTCCTTTCCTTATCGAATTTGGAGAAAGTAAGGACCACCTGTCTGACCATGTACCAACAATGCGATCGCCAAGTGTAGTTCTAAAAAATTCTTCAACTGATTTTTATTATTCTTTTAGAACAAGAGAGTTTAACATTTTGTCAAGGAGACCATTAAATGATGGATTAAACTTCAATCAAGGAGAAAAGTACACCATGAAAACAAGAGCACGGAAGGTTTGTCCACTGAGTGAAGTAAACAAGCGCCATTTTTTAAACTCTCTAAATGGCGCTTCAACGTTACCTTTGTTACAGCAGAGTGAAAACTCTCCATTTTTGGTAGCTGCTGAAAATTGTAGAGGTATGTAAATATATAGCAGATTTCTCTTATCAAATGCAAGTGTTTTAAACGCCAGTATAAAATCTTATCTACATTTGTAAAGAATATTTGCAGTATTCGAACAAACCGATTTTTATTAGAAACCTACCAAGTAATCGGACATTATAAATGTATAGAAGAAGCGATCGAAGTAAACAAGTTTACAGTCTTTATGGTCATTTATCAAAGACACAACAAAAACGCTACTTTATAAAAAGGACTGCCTGCCAAATGTGTAAACAAGGAAGCATGTTCGCGTACGTTCATGAACTACACCATTTTTTTTTTATACATGTATATCATATTCTGGTGACAAAGCATATTTCCAATTCCGGATGTTACACAACTATAATATAGAACCACGCAACAAGTAAGAGTCTGTTATAAACATATATTTATCATCCTAATTAGTTGTCAAAGGCTGGTTATTACAAATAGCGGTCAGATGTAGCCAGCAAAACGGATATGCATAGCTATCTGTAAACTAAAATTGTGATATAAGCATGGAAAAGCGTTACTCTGACTCGCGATGATAAAGCAAAATATTATTATACATACATACATACATACATACATACATACATACATACATACATACATACATACATACATACATACATACATACATACATACATACATACAATGTATCGATATGAATGATATTTGACCCAACACTGGTAATAACGATAAAAGATATATATCGTTTAGATACCTCAAGAGTATTGACATAATCTATTTATTCATTTTTTTTCTCCCTATTTCTATCAATTTTATATACCTGGAACATTTTATCACTTTGTCACACTGTGACTAAACTTTTTTTACTACTTTTGTTTTGTCAGAAGCATCCTTGCGGGGGGATTGTTTGTATTTACTTCGTGGACAGTCTGCATTTGCCCTTTCTCTTTGATCCTGTTGCCTAGTCATGATGCTTCTTATACTTGTCATATCTGAAGTATTATGAATTTTATGTTGCATTCTTGTTATGAGTATAAATCTTGTACAATGTGGTTTCTTTAAGAATATACAATTTTAACATTAGTGTATTTATTTAACTGATCACATTGTAGAAACATTTGTTCATCCACCTAGATTATTCCGTTCGCTCGTGTCTTAGGTTTTGCGATTTAGGCCCGGGACACCACGAAACAGCTGTATAATTTGGTTCAGATTCTATTCATAACTATTTATTTCTAAAACTTGTGTATGTATTACTCATTTACTACAGAACTAGCTTTATGTAACCTAAAGCGCCGTCAGACGTCATGTTATTCAGAATTATGCTTTGTATTCAATTTAATGTTGTTTGTTATGAGTGAGGTGCATACTGAATATAAACAACAGAACTTGTGCTATTAGAATTAATACGAAGCAATAATGAATGACAATGGCTGTTACACCGGAGCTTGAATAGTTCATTTATTTTGGCATTTGGGTTCCTATAATTCATACAGACTATTTTTCTCTACCCGATTTCACAATAATTGACACATTGCATTCGATCGGTGCTCTAGTATGCTCGTACATCTCAAAGGCAAACGTCATGAGTTATCACAAACGGCCACTCGGTATTTGCGAAATCGATTGTGACAGTACATTTTTTATACACATTCAATTCGCCCTTTTGGGATTGAAATCGATTAAGAAAAGAAAACATATTTTCATAATTAACGGTTCGATCTGTAACTCTGGCAGTTGTATCTCAGAAACTTCCTCTGGTTTTACTTCATGACAAAATGTCCCTAGCAATTCACTGGTGATGAGAACAATATAATACAAAACTTAATTAGCAAACAACCTTGTCAATGAAAACAGTTCTGTTTCATTAACCAATATGTGATGGTAGAAAATATTTGCAAGGCATCTTTGGCTTTGAGCTCGGTCGGCATGCTTCTCTTCTTATCTAATAAAAGTTCGAAAAAAGGAAAGAAAACTACCAAAAAAATAATGAGTCTATTTTATTTTATTCTTATATGGCATCACTTCTTTTAAATTCAAGTATAACAAAGTACAAACCATTAGTTATAAAATTTTGCATTATTCATTGTACAAACACTTAATTATACGTGTACTTACGTTGCAATACGATATAAGTATATCGATTACTTACAAAGATACTTTATAATCACTAACCCCCTTGTCACACCACACTTACATGTTCATACAAGTTCATACATTTTACAAAAGACATGAACATTCAAGGTACAGCCCAAATCAAATCCGAGATATTAACTGTATTACATTTTAGCCTTTAATACATTAAAATGTCATGCTTTAAAGTATTTTTATTACCGTACATATCAAGCAAGGCAAACAAATTATTTATTTCACTTCGTTCCAGACAGAAAATGAACATTTATCGAGAAAGATTATTATATTTGGTACAAAATACTAGCTGAAGAATAATGGTGGGTTTTTTCCAAAATTAGTAAACATTGTTTGCAAAAACAGCTGATATTAATTTTGTTAACGTCTAATTTAGTAACAAATAACTACGTTTTCAATTCTTTATACAAAAACTCTACGTTAAAACAAAATTACAAAAGGAAGAATCCGCACAAATTTATTCAATTTTAAGAAAACAATAATGACATCACAGTATATCAACTAAGGGAATATTTTAGTTGTAAACATATACTATGTTATATAGGATTTCAATAGAAACGGTAACAAAATATAAAACTATATAATATAATCAAGACTTAATGGCTATAATAATGATGGTAAGATTTCAATAATTTCAGAAATACATCAAATTTAACAATACCAACCTAATAAAGCACGCGAATAATTCCACAATATATATATATATAACAAAACAGAATACGGAAGGGTGAAGCAATGACGATGCTCTTATCTAGACAAAGAAGGTTCGATTCCCCGATTGGGCAGGAAAATATATCAAGTCAACCGTCATACCTCGTTGGTTTTCACCGAAGACTCCAGTTTTTACCTACAGACCCCTCGCATACACAATCAGACCAAACAAGATTGATAGATATAAGTGATAGCTCGTTTCACAATTCTTGAAAGATGAATACATATACGATACCGTTTATGAGAAGAGTACAGACCGTCCAACAGACCTAATGTGTGAAATCACGACGCCAAAACCAAGCTGAATTTAAAATCGCACCATGAAAAAATGACAGATATTCCTATAGCCTTTTAAGCTTCCAAGTGTACGCCCTGGACATCACTGAAGAGTTCTAGACGAACAAAACAGCTGTATGATGCAGAATAGTTTATTGTTTGTCTCTACTGTATCTAACTCATAGTAAGTTATAAAATGGTCTATTCACTTGTTTGTCTTCTGTACATTCATTAAGATACACCAATTAATATTTTATTGTGTTTTGACGTCAATGTTATTACAAAGAGAGAAATAAAAAACGGTATAACCTGTTACATTTTCGAAAACTATCGCAGAACAATAAAGTAATAGCGCAAATGTTCTATTGAAATCATTTTAAAATATACGACATTTATTAAACTACTTGCACTATGGAATACCATATCAACATTTTAAGAAACTATGATTCCATCCATTATTTGTAACATATTGTATCTAAAAATAATTTCGAATTGAAAGATGCTATTCACAGGTGTTTCTTTTACAATATCCTCTGTTTCATATACTATATGGCACATAGAAATATCATCCGCAATATCAACTGTAACTCGTATTACCGTCGTATCGCTATATTCACTAGCAGACGTTAAGAATATAAATTATCATATTTATGTTTCTATCGGGATATTTCAATCGATAAATGTTGTCTTTTTTTCATTCCAATTCTTGAAAATTCAGATTCGCAGTAATATATATTTTTACAGTATTACATAAATATGCGATAATGGAAGTCATGATTCATCAAAATGTTCGACTAATATAACCTGTTATATCATTTCTCTCCGTGAAACAAATAGAATATGGCACTTTTAATTTGATATCGTTAAATTGAATTAAACTTCAATTGTTTTAATCACTAAAAGACTTACATTGTATTTATAAATACATTTTACATCCCCATGTGGGATTAAACTTCATTACTGGGTTTTCATTACAGTTATTAATAGGTTGACTTGACATAATTAATTTTATACCTGCAAAAAGAAAGCATATGACTACATCGACAACTCACACTAATTTACAAAACGTACATTAACTAATAACATTCATTTGATACTGTTTTTCTTTGCTTCAATGCAATTTAAATACGTATGTTTGATTAGAGGTAAATCGAATTGGTTCCCAAAATCAAATATGTAAATTAGATTATATTTATCTATCGATTTCCTAACTATCAGTCATATGTAATTCTAGGCATGTAATTCTAGGCCAATTTATAATAACACAACACACTCACTGAACACATAAACATTGTAATGCCCTTGTCTCTTTGAACTGTAGATTGGTCATGGCTTTCGTATAATGCTTTTAAATAAGTTGATGAAGAATGAAATGATTAAATCATAGAATAATGAAGGATATGGATTGCATTTCACGGTATCTATCTCTAAACTACGGACCTTTGATAGGTGGTATGTGCTTAAACCTAGGAAAACCTTAATTAACACAGAAAGGAACATGCCAGTTTCAAATATATATGTATAACAATTATTCTGTTGAACAGAAGGAGTAGAGACAATGACATTTCAACAAATATTATTTAAAACATCAAAGGCACATGATAAAGAATTGAGCATTATTTTTCAAGCAAAAAGAAAGTAATAAATCCATTGCATTACACGAGCATATTATCTAATTCCTGCTGATAAATTGCTTAACTGCAGTACAATGGTGTTGTCATTTAAATTGACCACATTCCATGATAACGTCATTTAAACCTCTATGTACAGTTTTCCTTTTCATTCGTTGCTGCAGTTATAAATAGGATTTGTCTTGCTGATACAATACCTGTGACGCCATATGTTAGTATTGAAATTCACTCAAGGAAAGGGGGAAGGCAAAGGATGAAACACGCAAATTCATCAGTTATTGTTAATATTTAAATTACTAGTGTTTGAGAAGTGTATGAAAAATAAAATATTTTCTTGAGACATAAGTTTCGAAGTTTTTCACTTTTTCCCGTGGGCACTTTAATTCGTGGAATAATGTTACTCACACGAAAAATATTTATGAACGTTATAAAGTGATTTAAGCTCGTTGACAAATTATTTGAAGATTAAGAGAATCTATAAAAAAAAAAGAACGAATAAAACTGTGATTTGTTTTTACAATTAATCACCAAGGTAAATGCGTAAATCAAATGCGCTATTTCTTCGGTAAATGTCTACAATTACTAATGCTATTTTGCCTTGATATAATGTACAATAGGTTTACGAAATGTTTTACATATTGGTGACAATAAACACACAAGATTCTCAAGCAGATAATACACGTCTATACAGGGTCATATAGAAATACAAAATTATCAAATTCAGTCACAAGACCACATTTTGACCTCCATAGACAAAACGGGGAAAACATTCTTTCGTGCGCAAAAAGCATGTTTTACTTTTTTCACAATTTTGTTGATCGAGTCATTTGGTGTGAATTATTTATAAAGCAAATAGACGAACAGATGTATTTATGAAGACTTTGTAAGAGGATATTACAAACCTTGATGTCTTCAATACAATCACACAATAAACAGCAGGTTTGAGCCAATATAGTTTTACTATATATCAGAGATAATACTGTTTAAGTAATATCTATTACCGTTTGAAGTTTTCAATGATAGTTCTTGGCATAAAATTGTTCAGAAATTCGTTATCTGTCATGCTGATAAAACATTAACTAAATCTATACATGCATGTTTCTCTTAGTAACTGTTTTTGGTATATGTATAAGCAGACATAAGATTTTTTCAGACAATATACACTATGCACAGACGTAAAAATCTTTGCTAAAAAATACTTGGAAATGCACTGATCTGAACTTGTTAAAGGTAAGGAATTCTAAAGCAACATAGATATATGCACCCACAAGAAAAAGCTGCTGTTTGAAGATAAATGTAAAAGTTGGTTTCCTGCAGAGGGACCCCATCGCTTTATATATTGCTAGTTAAGGATGGCATCCAAAATACTTAATCAAATGTGTAATTGTTTTTAAATCAATTTGGTCGGCGTCTTTCAAAACATCTATGAGGATTTGCATTCGTGAGAATGTGAGACCCAGTGGTTCAGCTGCAACATACAAATGAATAAAATATCATCAACATATTACCAAAGCAAGATGATAAAACATTTAGACACTCTTTTTAAAACAATATTATACAATTGTTGAAGAAATAGTTCTTGTCGGAAAGTACATCATAGGAACGCTCGAAGATGATTTTTTTTTACTGAAACGGGCTTACATTTTTTCATGGTATCTAATTTTCGCGGTTTTATGCCATCGTTTATAACATAACTTCATTTACATTAAGTTTGATATAGATTGCCACTAGTGGCACATATGCTACTCAAAGCTACTGTAGTAAGCAAAGCTGTGAAAGTTAAGAACGATCTTAACATTATCTTGATTACATCGAAGATTTATAGAAATATATTTGCACTTGCGAAGCGTAATCACTATACAACATTACCATATCAAATCGTCTGCCATACTAGTCTGGAAACATGGACATTTGACCTCGCGCATGAAAATGTTACAGGAACTCCTTTTGTCAAACACGTGTATATATAATAATAACATTTCTTTTTTACATTAATAAATAATTTTATTTACGATCTGGTTTAATGAAATGATTCGTGAAAATGTTTCTGATATTTTTTTTCTATCACATTTAAGAACATTTTATGGACGCATGGCAAATGTTTCAATAAGCTGTGAGGAGTCACCAGTGACTGTTTTATTCATGAAACCCCCTCCCACTAATGACCGTCTTTTCCGGAGTTATTCTGTCACATACTAACAAGGATTGTTTTACAGCAAATTTTGATGAAAGAACATTGATGTAAATATACAATGTTAACCATGTTTATGGTCGGGTCGGTGGTCGGGTGGCGCACTCGCCTTTCACCTAGCCGACCGGGGTTCGATTCCCGGAACGGACGTGAAAAGGTAAGGGGTCACCTGCCCGACCACGTGGGTTTTCCCCGGGTACTCCGGTTTCCTCCCACAATAAGACCCCTCGCGCGCTTACATCCGGGCCAACAAGAGTGATTAGTATAAGTTGACATAACTTGTTTCGCAATTGTTGTAAAATAAATAAAGTTTATATATATGTTTTATGGAGCAGTTCCTTTAGGAATATATTCTAAATGGCGTGATAACGCATTCCATAGAATATATTCTTAAAGGAATTGCACCAGAAAAGCATGTTTTACATAACAGTAAAATCCAACCCCAATATAAAACATCATCAATGTAATTTCGTATTTTTTCGAATATCGATGGAACAAATGTTTTCATATCTACATAATTTTATCAATGAACTCTTGTTATCAATATATCACAGACAGAATAGAAATAATGATTTACGTCCTTCGTTAGTACAAATAATTAGTAGAAGTAGTGGACAGGTACTTTAACTCTATTGAAGTATGAATAGAATGTAAGATAAGATTAGTAAGTATTCTTTGTAATCAATGATCAGCCTACCTGACACGCCTGACTACAGTACCAAATAAGTTTGCAGTTAGAACACAGGAACATGGCTGTCTTCCCACAAACTTTACAGTTGCCGTTAATCTGTTGCAGCTGTGGGGGTGCTTCTTGCTGTACCACCGAAGACGAATACCCAGATGTTGTGGGTAGATCCTGTGTATATCTAGCGCTTGGCTGAATCGTTGAGGACGTGTGTACCTGGCCATAATTCTGAATTTCGAACAATTTTTTTTATTAATTTTATATCAAACAATATAGAAGCAATTCCACATTAACGTAATGTGACATTATATTGTCGTGGGACTCAAATTTCGTGGTTGAACAACAATGTGCAGTTTCCTTGGCACCTGATTCCATGAATAAATCTTAAAGATAGATCTAACGAAATTCACTATTACTAAACCCAATTTCATATTTTTTCTTTATCTTTAATCATTTCGTGGATACCTATATCCGTGAATTAAGAGTCGTCCTGAATTCAACAGAAATACAATTCCCACAAAAAATAATAATTTAACAGTAATCATTACTATCATTTGAATAGAATCATAGACAACACTGCTGCATTGTTTAAAATAATTGAATATTTATGTCGTACCGTTGATGTACCGTTGTTGTTGCTGAGGACATTTGTAGGTTTATTTGGTAAAGTCGCCTGTTGAACTGCTGTATGCGCTCTCACTGCACTTTCCGGTCTATTGTTCAAATGTTGGTGATGAGTCACACGAGGAACATTGTTACTTAAAAGTTCCCCAGGGACTGCGGTATTATGATGTTGTTGCGCTACAAATTGTATTGAAAGGTAAATTTTGAATTCAGTATTTACTCTCGGCTCAAATTTATTCAACATATTAAACAATTCTTTTAACGAATTAATTTAAAATATAGTATATAAATTTATCAATATCTGGAATTATGTCAGTGGCAAAAAGTAATATATTCACATACCCGTGACGACTGGATATCTGTTGTACGTTGTATTGACAGCAGAAGTCGACTGAATCACCGCAACTTGTCCGTGTGAATTAGTTTGGTTATAAGCAATAGGATAGCGAGTATCACTAGTCACATCATCAGATGTTTGGATACTTTTTTGTTGCTGCTGCTCTGATAAACTCGTCTCAGTCATGTTTGCAAAAATGCCGCTGGTACCAGTTCCAAAAGGTACTGTGCGAGCACCGACAAGAACCCGCTGCGATTGATGATTATGCGTTGTTTGTGGCATGGAGGGTGTTGTAGCGCGAGGTCGCTGCAACACCAACAATTGGTCTTGGTAGCCGGATTCGCGAGAAGGCCTGGCAGGAATTATATTGTTATTGGAACTTTGGCTTGTGATGTTGACAGGAACTCGAAGCCTATTCGCCAGTTGCGTTTGAATCATTGGGTTGACGTTTTGATTTCCATAAGGTGTCATCAAACGTGAATGTCCCGACGTATGAACTTGAAGATGTGTCTGACCTTGACCTGTGCTTCCAGAAGCAACTTGCATTTTATTTTGTTGGTGAAACTGCTGCATGTTACGTTCTTGTGGTTGTGAATGTTGGTTCTGGTGCTGTTGCTGATACTGTTGTTGCTTATGCTGCTGCTGCTGCTGTAACATTTGTTGTCGTATTTGCTGCTGCTGTTTTATGTGTTGTTTCACATGTTGTTCAAATGGTTGTTGCTGTTGGTGGTGTTGTCGATTTTGTTGTTGTATTTGATGTTGCTTTGATTGAAGTAAAATGTGTTTTTGGGTTTGCTCAAGCGTAATCAAGTCATTTTGCGCTTGCTGGGGATTATTTGGCTGCATTAACATATGCTGACGCGTTTGTTGTTGTTGTTGACTTATCCTCTGTGTATACTGCTGTTGTTTTCTCTCTGCTTCTTTTATCTTTTCCTGTGCACTTTCTTGAATACTTTTAAAAAGCTTTGGATCGATCTGAAAACTGTTTGGAATGTCTGGTTTACCTGATGAAATTTTTTCTTTTTGATTTAAATTTTCAGAATCATCGAATCGTTGGCGTTTAGCTAAAGCTTCATTCAGTTCACGCTGAACTACCAGTTCAGTATCACGATTCTTATCATTTACCTGTAATTGTTTAACAGGCTGTTGCTGAAAAGTGTTACCTGAGGAGGTTGTGCTTAAATTCTTAACTGTGTGGTCGATAAGCGAGCAATCCGCCGGAGAAGACGAAACATGTTTTATTTCTTGCTGGCTCTCATTTTGAACTTTAGTTTGAATACATTTCTCGGATCTGACAATCGTCTTATTTTGAGCTTCAGATAATACGGCTTCATGTACACATGGTGAAGAAACAGTAGTTTTTGCATTTGAAACGACTGACTCATCATTAATTGTGTTAGATGATGACTTTTTAGCTAATTTTGTCTTATGCTCCAAAAAAGAAGGCAAAGGGTAAATCAATTGCCCTGCGCTTTGGAATGGAGTTTGACTGTGGGCTTTAGGTGGTTCACTCTTTGTTGGTAGAGGGTTAGCAAACTCAAATGGGGGCCTTGTAAGTGGATCTTTTCTTTTCATATATGGGCCTGTGACATCGATATTCGCTGGTTTCGGTGCCTTGCACCTGTTAATTTCTTGACAAAGTTCCACGATGCTCTTGCGAATATTCATATGAGCAGGAGAGGGATTATCTGGTAAATCAGTGCGTTTTTTCTGAGGCTGGCGAGAAGTACCATGTCTTGGATGGTAACGCAAAGCATTTTTTATTTTTCCAAGTAATTCAGCTTGACATTTGTACTGTTTCTGATTAGACTTGGGTCCACGCATTGTGGTTGCAAGGTTGATGGCAGGCGATTGATTAGGATCTCCATTTATTGGCTGGATTCCCAAACTCCCACCATTTAGATTTCTAGGTTTCCTTTGCATGCCTAATTGTCTTAATAAATTTGCTTTTTCGTTCTTTAACTTAATAAGTTCTGCCCTTTCCCTTGCCATTCGAGCCTCGCGTTCTTGAATTTGCCGATACTCTATAAGATGTTTATACACTTCCTTGTCAAACTCTTTCGTTTTTTGAGATGCTCCTAAATTTTCCGCTGTGGATGTATTTGACAAGTTGGTATCGTTTGTTTGACCTTCTATGATATGACTCTTTGAGAGATGTCTTGCATCATCTTGCATATGATTCTGGTTAGTTTGAACACCACATTGCGGTGAAGCATGTGGCGCTGATGTTGAGGACACGGAACTTATGACTTGATACGAACTTCCTTGAACAACTGTCGAGCAAGTACTTGCATTGTTCGATACAGGGACAGAACTGAGAGTCGGAATGGTATGACCTGTACATTCCATACCTGGTGTTGAGGTCATCCTGCAGGAAGAGTCAGAAATTCCGATATTTGATTGTGATTGTTTAAAACTTCTTTCATTCTTTTGGACAATGTCTTTGGCTTTATTCGATAAATCTGAAGGATCATTCTCTGTTGTTTGTATGATGCATGGATTTGCTTGTATATTTCCGTCCAATGGCGTTTTAGGCTCGAGAACAATATCTGCAACCGACTGGGTTCTCTGCTCTGTTTTAAGTAAACAAAACGTACGTTAATTTTTTGGAAAATAGTAAAGAAGACACACAAAGCAATAACACAGTAATGCAAATGTACCAGACCCATAATTCAAGACATTTCTTAATTTTCATATATCTAACAATTTTAAACCAACGCCACTCTTCGAATTAATTAAAACGTGGCATGCAAGTTACGACAAACCTGGGTGACTAAAAGTTCACTAGCATGTCATCTACCTGCAATTTCGATGATGTACAAAAAAAACCCACAAGGAGGTAGCATCTTTGATATATATTTAGTTAGATACAGCAAAGTCACACAAAGAATAAACTACACAATACAGTTGTTTTGTCCTTCTAGGATTCATTAGTAATGCGAAGGGCCGATAGTTTGAAGTTAAGGAGGGTATAAAGATTTTGATATCTTGATCAATTTGTAACAAATAGCATATGGTTTATGATTTTTTTTCTGAATACTCGAACTTCATTAGTTTATCTTATCTCTAAATCGTTAATGTAAACAGAAATGCATTTGATAATTGATAAAAGAGTTTACAGTATCAACGCTTCTTCAAAAGTTTTAATGATGATATACAATAATATCAGGTTTTACTGGGCGGCGTCGTGAGACTGTTAATATACATTCAACAATAAGATGTATCGATACATGACAAAATTCAATATAAAGGGCCAAGTATCTGAAATATCTTCACCAAATCGAAAAGAGCAAATGTGACAAACAGAGTTTGTGGAAAAGGAAGACGTATCGAAATTAAACGTAGATAATATTATCTGATTCCACTGAATTGAGACAACTACAAGAATTTTTAAACATCACGTTTTTAATTACATTGAAGCATGGCTCGGTTAAACACAGGTATTTATGGAGTCTTTTTTAAAATCCAATATTTGAAAATTTTGAATTTTATTAAATTACGCGAGAAATGCAACCTCCAATCTTACGACTAATTGTGTTGTTCATTCCAACACTAGCACCTCTGATGAGTTTTGGCAGGGGAAAAAGTTGTGTGATACCGTTTTTTGCCTTATTTGGCTTTACAGAGTCTAATTTATAGATGCTTTTCTCTTGTGTGTCTTTTTATAATCGTATGACATACAAATGTATGACGCGAATTCGACATTACTTGGCAAAAGTCAGTCATATGTGATGGTACGTGCAACAAGTGAATATTGAATACATATCCTGATACATGCTACATGAATAAACTGCAATTACTGAGCATATACTCTGATACATACTGCGATGATTTTATAACGACTTATGTCACACAAAGTCATATATAAAAGAAGGATTACCAGGCGGTTATTAAACGTATACCCTGACACATATAACAAGGATATACCCTGACACATACAACAATGTTTACCTGGCGACGACTGTTAAACATATACCCTGACACACACAACAATGTTTACCTGGCGACGGTTAAACATATACCCTGACACATACAACAATGTTTACCTGGCGACGGTTAAACATATACCCTGACACATACAACAATGTTTATCTGGCGACCATGAAACGTTAACCCTGACACATACAACAATGTTTACCTGGCGACTATTTAACATACTCTGACACATATTACAAAGGTCAACCTGTCGAGTATTCAACATACTCGGACACATATTACAATGATTACCTTGTGACTATCAAAGATACACGGACACATAAAACAATGATTAACTTGTGACTATTGAACGTTTCCGTACATATGTAACAAGGATCATCGTGTAACAATTGAACATATACCCTCTATAAAAACAAATAATACCTGGCGCGTATCACCCTAACACGCCGACACAAAAAATAAGGTTTTACATGCGCCTTTACACATATTCCGGCACACGCTTTGCAGATGAACGTGAAACTGTACACTATACTGTAAAAATTTAACATATACCCTGACACAAACATCAAGGACTATACTGTAACTATTTGACATATACCCTGACACAAACACCAAGGACTATGCTGTGACTATTTAACATATACCCTGACACAAACACCAAGGACTATGCTGTAACTATTTGACATATACCCTGACACAAACACCAAGGACTATGCTGTGACTATTTAACATATACCCTGACACAAACACCAAGGACTATGCTGTGACTATTTAACATATATCCTGACACAAACACCAAGGACTATGCTGTGACTATCAAACATATAACTTGGCACGTGCTACATGACAACCGTAAACAGACATATCGACACATACTATAAAGATGACCTTGCCACAATTAAACAGATACCTTGAAACATAATACAAAGACCATGTTGTGACTATTAACCTTTTATGCTGCGACAAACAGCAATGGTCATTCTGTGACTATCTAACACATACCCTGATATATACAAAAAGGACTAACTTATTACATCTTCTCTGACACAACATGTCGTGTATTTAGCAAATACAAGGACTACCTGGCAACTAATTACATCTCCTTTGACACAACATGTCCTTTATTTAGCAAAAACAAGGACTACCTGGCGACCTATATACAACTTATTTGACAATACAAGACATGTATTTAGCGAATACAAGAAGGATTACCTGGCGACGTTTTCACACATAAATCGAGAGGTGCGTTTACAGGACACGGTTCGTCGTCTTTCGTAGTGTCAATAGTGCTGTAAATATACAGTGAAATGCATATATATATATATATTAGAAAATAGTGCTTCTAAGAAAAATTACACACACGTACTCTGTCATATAAATAAATAGATCACAGCAAAAAAAAATTAACGTCATTTTTGTCATCATTTTGATTTCTTGATTTGAAAGTCTGGAACACATTTTGGAAATATACAGATGTTGGGTCTTTTTATTTGTTAATTGTGTCTATAACAAGAAGGAACATACGTCGGATGGCGTTCTGTATGTCTGCCAAGAGGGAGAATGTATGACGTATTTGTTTGTATATATGTCACGTGAAAGTATACACATGATGTGTCAGTCATTATGGCATAGGGGTATCTGCCGGTACCTGATTCCTTCTGACGTCACTTCCACCGGATGTTGATTTTCAGTGCATTCGATATTTGGGTATTCATCTACGGCAGTTGTCGTAGATACCTCCATCTCTGTGGTATCTTCGGCCATGTTAGTCTTAGTGACATCATCCGGGCACTGTTTTGAAGTATTACATGGCTCTGACGTTGGACTTGTCTCTTTCTTGTCACTGACGTCCTTTTCTTCTTCCTTCTTGTACTTGTTTTCCAACCAATTGTGGCGTGGAAACTCCTGCACGAGCCTGTCCATATCAGCGACAACTGGTTTCGACTTCAAGGTACCCTGTATATTTACTCGTCGTCTCTTCGGGGGCAAAATGGTCGGTAACTCATCTTCATCTATTTAAAAATATATTGCTTGGATAAGTTTCGTGTAAATAACTCCAATATCATAATTCGGAGCTGGAATACTCCGTCATTTCAACACACCAAATTTTATCAAGAGATAAAGTAAAAGAATAAGTTCGAAGTGTAACAGTATTTGATTGATTTAAGTATGTTTTCCTCTATAAAGAGATTTTTACATGAGTTTCCGTTTATGTGAGATTCATGAAAAGAATCTAAAGATCGTTTCAACTTTACCGGGTCTCTGGCGAGCTTACAAACGTTCGTAAGAGTATAATAAATTGGATATCATATAAGACCGAATGTAAGATTATCAAATTACTCAGACACTTTTGCAATATTTGTAATAAACAGTGTTTTTACTATACTTATCATCACTCTTTTAAATCAATACTCTCGATCTATATCGCTTTCTTTGGTGACGTCACAGTAGTATTAACGCATTTGTGTTTGTCTATAAATGATTTATATCTAATAACATTTGTGTGAAGTCATTTCAATACCTTATATATGGTCTCCAATTATTACAATGTAATATATGACTAAAAACCGCCATGTTATTATTTAAACCTTCCTTCACATTAGATTGTGTTACGCATGTGTAATTCGCAAAATGCTACACTGGTATGTGTACTGATGAAAAGTCAGTCTTGTGAAATACGCAAAATACTACACTGGTATGTGTACTGAATAAAAAGGCAGTCGTAGAAAAAGGGCGTGTATGTAATGTCGTCATGTGTTCTTCTCGTATAGAAACGATGTTCACGTACAATTATAATTCAGATAGAATTTTAGAGGTGTTACTTTCTTTCTGTATATTCATATATAGATTCCTTATAAAAGGCATGAAGGGTATTGGGGGATTATCATAAAAAGAGGGACAAAGTATTATCGTGACAACCAACACAAAGGAAAGGTTACCCCGACAGTGGGAAACACGATTTGAGCTCAGCTGAGTTAACAAATTTGATCTGAATATCAATATCGCCTTCATTACATTTCTGTTATCTTAACATATATTTCCACATGTTTTGTACATTTGTCGGCATAAAATTAATTATTTGACATAATGTCCTATATGTTTGCCGGCACTACTTACTGTTCTTCCAATAACCTGAAAAATGTCATTCCAGGTCGTATGTAATCAGATTGCACAGGAATGCATCGCAATTTTAGTTTCCGAAAGACATGTTATAATCCTTATCAGTAGTTTTATCCGGAACAGGGTCAAACACACAAACATCAATCGATTTCCGAACAGGACAGAGATAAAATATAGGACGAGGTCATGTTGCCCATGACATCAGATCCTGTCTATATTAAGCGTGTGCACTGATAACCTTAGCAGCAGAGACAATTGTTTTGCATAGAGACGACATTATTATTTGAACTAGTCGTTTATTTAGGGTAATACGATATACAATGAATTAGTCTTATATTCTAAAAGCTGCATTAAATTGTAGTATGACCCAATAGAGATTTCAGATTAAATCGCCAATAAAAAAAAATTAAAAAAAAAATTAAAAAAATACGGAATCGACGACAATTGCATTTAATTTGCAAACCGTTAAACCATGTTTAACATAAGGTTGTCCGGTAATAACATGGAATTTGAATCCTAGACACTAGTACTAAACTATGTGTATATATACACTCGTGTACTGCAAAAGAGAGAGCTCTTTCGCTATTACAAATACAAGATTGACCTCTAAACTACAATCGTTGTCTCTATATTGCCATGTGTAATATTGCATATTCCATAAAGATAACCAAATATATGAATAGAAACTTTGAAGAAGAACTTACCTGAACTCGGCCATAGATACATAGTGTCTACAAACACCCTACGTGATAACATCTAGCAATCAAAACCGAACAAATTTTGTTTCTGAGGTCGGCATTGCGAGTTAATCCGGTAAATCTAGTATAGAGGGACATCATTCTAACGGATGTAGTATAAGTGGCGAGCCCGGTACAAATGAGGAACTTACCACTTACGCGTTTACTTCCTCGGCTCGCTATTGTTCTCACATGAAAGCACTTGTTAACGGATTACTCATACTCTTTTATCCAATTACTTAATTTTTTACCGAAACAAAATAGATAAATTATATAAGTTTGTTGGTTTTATAAATTAGTGGTTTGTACAGCATTTATAGATAAACTTACCATCATTAAATTGAAGTTACAAAATATTATTTTCGCATTTTTTATCAACGAAATATAATTGTTGCAGGTATTTGTAAAATATTTAGTTAGGAATAGATTCTTGTGTTATTACCATTAATCATTGATTGCAATACATGCTGCAATTAACAATTGGGTAACAAATATATGAATAGTGGCATTTTAACTATTTGCAAACAGCTATTGAATGGCATTGATATGACGCCAACTTGTATTCATTTCATATGACAGTTAAGATCAATGGGAGGCACCGAGGAAAGAAAGGTTACGCATTCTTATAAGTCGGACAGCAGGACGCGAATATTTATTTGAGTACGACACATAATCGTTGTTGCACAGTCAAAATGCTACAATACGAACAGACAGACAGACAGATAGAAAATAAATAAGGATCACGTTCCCAGACTATATACACTATTCAAGATAAATAACTTTTCTCCGTATATCTAAATAAACCTTACAAACACACCAGCAAAGAGCATGAACTCCATAAAAACAAAACAAAACACCGTTCATATGCCTAAACACAATAGTAAACCTTCACAGCAGCGGAGGGCAAGATTCAACGGTACAACAGACCAGGAACCTGTATATCGCGCCAAAAATATGTCTGAACATTCTAAAAAATTTCTAACAAAGAATGTCTCTACATGATAGCATATTCTACAATTAAGGACGGTTGTGTTTATTTTTTTACTTACAAAAGGATATGAAGCTCTTAAAGATGAAGTGAACTGTATCGTTCCCGCGAGGTTTATTTTCCTTCAAGTGTCTAAGTGAGCAACAGAAGAGATAATTAATGCTTATGTTTGCTTAGTCCATTTTAAAACTCTCGCGTAATGCACTTTAAGTTTATCCTGCAGTAAATTTGCATCACTTGGTAAGATTGTTACAGAACGGCTGCTGGGTCGCGTCCGTCAATAATCAACAAAAACATAGTTCAAAAGTGCGATTAAATTATTATAATAAAGATATGATGTGCTATTAAATAAGACATTTCAACATTTGAATGTCATTTTCACAAATGCCCACTTTCTACTTTTCGTAGAGGTGTTATCACAAGGCACAAAAAGCATTACGTGTTGTTGTTTTGGTTACATCACGCGAGGCCATTCATTTGCTGGAAGTCCCGATTTGAAATTGAAAAAAACAAAAGAAATAAGTTGACACATTCAAAGGCTTAAACAAGATGGTGAGAATGTTGACATAGTAGTCAGTAATGCAGGATTAGTATTGTTGAAGGGTCTAATTTAGTAACACGTGGTGCCGATCTGGTCCAAGCAGTCATGGCACTGTTTAGGCTACGTAGGGTCATGTATATTCTACGACAGACTCAGCACTCAATAATATCTTGCTAATGACTGGCGACCGAGTATTCAAATATTAAGGTACATGTATGTAACAGAGCTGTCAAATATATCTGACCACCTACGACCATTTTTTTTGTATAATAATTTCGCTTGAAATCCCTAATGCATTATAGATATCACGTAATAGATAAGTGTTCATGTACATTTTAATGATGCGTTGGGTGTTTGTTTTCAGATAATCTGTCAGTATCATATTGTTAGTGTTTCGTTGGCGTATAAAAACAACTGTTTTACCCGGGAACACATGTTGTACAGTAGACAAGACAACAATATTACTCATACGCCATTGTATTTTTTCGTCCCGAGCAACATCAAGTGTTTTATTTACTTCATCAGGAATTGAAGTGACTGGATTTTATTACTTAAATCGAGGCAACGCGAAACGGAAATGTTTATATGAACTCAAGGTTCAACAAGAAAACATATCAACACGAAAGCATGTATAAACAAGATAACATGTGTCAACACGAAAGCATGTATCAACACGATAACATGTGTCAACACGAAAGCATGTGTCAACACGATAACGTGTCAACACGAAAGCATGTGTCAGCACGATGACATGTCTCAACACGATGACATGTGTCAACAATATATAGCATGTCTCAACATGATTACATATGTCAACACGATAACATGTATCAACACGATGACATGTGTCAAAACTATAACATGTTTCATGTGTGACAACATGTATCAACACGACAACACGATAACATGTATCAACACGATGACATGTGTCAAAACTATAACATGTTTCATGTGTGATAAAATGTCTCAACACGATAGCATGTGTCAACATGATAACGTGTCAACACGATAACACGTGTCAACACGATAGCATGTATCAACAAGATAACATGTGTCAACACGATAACATGTGTCAACACGATAAATGTATCAACACGATAACATGTGTCAACACGATAACATGTATCAACAAGACAACATGTATCAACACGACAACACGATAACATGTATCAACACGATCGAATGTATCAACACAACATGTGTCAACACGATAAATGTCTCAACACGATAACGTGTGTCAACACGATGACATGTATCAACACGACAACATGTATCAACACGACAACACGATAACATGTATCAACACGATCGAATGTATCAACACAACATGTGTCAACACGATAAATGTCTCAACACGATAACATGTGTCAACACGATGACATGTATCAACACGATGACATGTGACTACGAGATAATATGAAAACTCACAAACACGACAAGAACGATATATACAAGTCACGACAAGAACGATATATACAAGTCACGACAAGAACGATATATACAAGTCACGACAAGACAGCATGTGTCGACAAAACTAAATGTCTCATAAAGAAAACGTGTTCCATCAAACGCGGTAAGACCTTGTAGCAAAACGATAACTTTATCTCCAACTCAAAAAATGTGTATGCATAATTCACGAAAAGCAATAACTTTAACAAGTTGCTTTAACCAGATAACTCCACCATGTCTCCTTTAGATTGATTGGTTAATAACATTCAGGCGGCGAAATATGGAATTGTGGAGCAAAAAGTAAATGTGTTGCAAGGATAATACAACTAGTTAACTGCAAATTACAGATTGTAAACTGACTGCTTGCTTGGTTGACGTCAAGCAAATCAAACTTTCGATATCACGTGGTCTGTGTTTTCACTTACCTAAAGGAGGTTGATCATCGCCCTCAATAAGTTTCTTTATGTCAGGAAAGTCTGGCGCTTCTGTCTTCCTTCCTCGTTTCCCCCTCTTTGCAACTGTAAGGCGTGACCGTTTGGTATATATTCGTCTTGATGTACTGCGACCATTTACTGAATTCTTAGACCGAGTGCGTTTACGTTTCTGTTTGTCATTAATTACGTTGCCTGCACTTGGATGATCAGTAATATCCACATTTGTTTTAACCTGAGTTTTTCTAGGAGATCTGGAAATGATAAGCGTTAGCTTCTCTTCTGTATTTTTATTTCTGGAGGGTTTCTTTTTTACAACTTCCTTCTTGCTAGCATATTTACGTTTTTGTCTACTAATAGGAGTGTTAATGCCATCTGGTTTGGTAGTGTTGTTTAACGTAACTGAAATGGGGGCGTTGGACGTTTTCTTCCCCCGAACCTTCCGCTTTCCAGCTATGTGCGTTACATCTACGACTTCTGGAACGTCCGTTGATTCTGGCAATGAACCCGATGTTAAATCCATATCCTCTCCATTGTTTTCGCAAACAGGTGTTTCCTTGTTATCCTCTGAAATTATTTCAGGCGTAGGGCTGGATACAGCAACGTTAGCGTCTTTATTTGTCTCGTTCGTATCTCCTGCAGAATCTTTCGCAATATCATGATCTTCCGGAGGAATGACTATTTTTAGAGATTGGTGATCTTCGTCATCGGAGTATCTGACGGTAGCGTCACTCGCATCACTATCATAACCTGTTTCAGTTGGAGCCTTTTCTTCGGAAGTGACATCTTTTCCCTTCACTTCAAGATTGTTTGTATAAAAGAGTGCTGTGACTGCACTCTCTGCTTCGGCCTTGTTGATGCGATCATCACTTGTTTCCACTGTAACGGTCACCAAAGAAATCATATTAGTCTCCTGATTCGGATCAATTGCAGTTTCTTCGACGGAATCAACATTCGATACAATATGTTCCTCTGCTCCGATAAAATCGACATTTGACATAACATATTCTACTGCATCGAGAGATTCCTTATTTGCTATAACTGATTCTTCTAATTCTGTAGTTGAAAAAACGGATTCCTTGGTATCGTTGGTCACATCACTGACTTCCTCTGTTACTTGCGTGAGACCGTGTACAAAAGTCGGTTCTGTTGAAACTATGTTTGAATCTACTGTCGACGATGTCATCGTTTGAGAATCAACATCTTTCAATTCTTCTACTGTGTTTTCATCACAAATTGATTTGTCGTTAGCATTAATCGACCCCTCGCCTACGGATTCGGAACACTCGGCATTTTGAAAAGAATCTGCTTCTTGCAATATACTAGAATAGTTATCGTCCTGAACACTGTTCGATTCTAATGCCACGTCCAAACTTTTAACCTGCTGTGTGCTGTCAGAGCTATTTTTATTATTAGGATCATTCATTTCAACATCGCCAATATCATTATCAACAACACAACCTTGACTCTCGTCCTTTGCTGGATCTGATGTTTCGATTGTGATAACGTTGTTCGTGCTTGACGAAGCTTCTAGTGCACCGTCCGAAATAGTCTCATTCGTTTGAACCATAATGACAGTCAGAGGAGTAACGTCATTCGAATGTTCTCTTGTTTTAGTATCAGTTTCGTCTTCAGCGTTACCAATTACAACGGAACTGTTCTCATCTAGTTCCCCGATGTCGTCATTGAAAGTCGCATCAGCTGTAACGGCTAAATCAATTGACTCCGGCATTGACAAAGGTACGGATCTGATAGTCGTACAGTCTATTGGTTCTAATATAGGTGGTGGAAGCTGAGACGAATCTCCTTCATTGGTAAATGTTTCAGAAACGCTTAGTAACGAAGGAGATTCATCTGATATCTCAAATTGAATTGGCAAAACTTCGTCAATTGGAGGTGAATCAAGTGCAAACGATTCAGTTTGCGTTTCGATAGATTGCTGCGTGGGAGGACCAGGTATTTTCACTGATTTCAATTTTGATTTTAACTTTGAAATGTTAAAGTGAGGAACATGTGTCATTTTTGGTTTATTTGTTAAGTCTTCTGGTGCATCCGGAGAGCGCACAGCGATATTTGGACATGTTAATGGTTCCTGCATTGGCGAGTCAGTTTTTACATTAGATGTATCTTGCTCAATAGAATTTATGGATGAATCACTACATGGTGTTGTTTCGGTAACTTTGAGTGACGATGAACATGTTGATAGAATTTCTGTGACGGATGATAATGGGGAAGCACATGATTTAGGGCTTTCACACTCTTGTGCATTAGATGATTGAAGTTTTTGCACTTTCACTTGTATGTGTTTAGAAAACATATCCGGGTACTTTTTCTGTAAGGCGAATTCGACTTTACCTGATGACAGTGGAAGATCGTTAAGACTTATTCTCGTTTGTCTTAACTTTGGATCATAATAGTTCGTTGCATCAAATTCACATTCTATTTCCTCAATGTTGTCCTTCCTTTTCGAACTGTTTGCCAGTAACACTGCTTCTGTTTCATGCTGAAGAGTGGCAGAGTTTTCCTTCATTGACATTGAGTCTTCTAACCCGTCCAATCCTGAAGGACAAACTATGTCTGTAGTTTTTGTTACACTGGAATTAGTTTTTATGTCATCATCTACATTGTGCGTTTCCTTCAGTGTCGGATTAGTTAGTTCTACATCGTTCAGTTGATTTTGAATAAGACACTTCGTTTTAAGAGCACTTATATCATCATTGCCACTGCTTCGATACATCCAAGAGCTATTACTCTTTTTTTCACTCACTGGACTAGGTCTTCCGCCCCGCAAACGACTCCCTCTAGGGCGCCCAACGGACCTTCCTCTGCCCCTAGGCGTAGGCCTGGGAGAAGGGAATGGCCTTGAATGATGTCCCCTTCTCGATAAAGGACCTCTGCCAAAAGAGAAAGGATAATGACTACTCGAACCACGCCTCCCTTGCATATCCGTTTCCTGACACTGTTTCACTGGTCGGATTGTTAACTTAGGAATTGGCGGTTTATCTGGATGATTCCATCCTGAAGTTTTTTCGCTATCATACGTTTGTGAAGAAATCCAGTATAAATTACTGTCAGAAGGAACACAAGATTTGTTTTCATGTTCATAAGGAAATTGTCTGGCATAATGCAAGTTTTGGGCAACATTGTAATCATTGGGATAATCCCATCGTAGGAACTGTTGTGGGGTCGAATCCATTCCGAGCATGGCGACACCTTGGCTCCGTTGATACTGGGTATCGTAGTATGGCAGCGGGCGTTCCTGGAAAACAAGCAAAGAAAACGATTCTAAGTTACAAAATAGTGGACAACTTGCAAAGAATCTGCTCATTATACAGAAATACATGGTCAGGATATTGATGATGACAAACCTTGAAAAATAAAAAGACAGAAAAATTGCAATTGAAATGTACGTAATGGGAATAAAGTAAGAACGCTGAGATTAAATGGCAGCCTCAATTGCATATTGGCTTTATTTTTCAGTTTAGTATTTTTTCTTCATCTTTCATCATCCTAAAATCCACAAAAAGCTAAATAATCAATAAAGAATCAATACGATTACATGAAACACTCAAGGTTAAAGGTCATCTACCATGGTAACGTTTATTGATATGAGATTATATATTACAGCATTCGGAGAATTGCTCACTGGACCATTTCGCTATCAACTTATGATGTAATAAATAATTAACTACTTAATGATATTGATCGTAGATACGGTTACTCTCAATTGTAATGCTACCAAACTGTTTATCGATCCAGGTTCAGGTTTAGATTGAAACTGAATGTCATTTGATTAATGTCGCAACCATGCCGGAATGGAATTATTGTGGAAATGCTACAACTTATTTACAAATAGTAACTCGTTCACGTCAATATGATGATATAAGCATTCGAAAAGAGGTGTGTCAGAAGTCGCAACTTTTCATTCCCCACATGTGGCAATAATGATACGTATTTGTATGTCTGTGTGTGTGTGTGTGTGTGTGTGTACTCGCATTTACCGGCTTTAGATGTCCAGTTTGAGTTTATACACCCTTTCTCCGAGGTCCGATCCTTACTCCGAGGTCCAGACCTGGGCCTCATTCTAGTTACTTAAAAAGGCAATTTATAACAATTTCAGTTATATATATATGTGAGGGTGTGTGTTTGTGTGTGTGTTGGTGTTTGTGTGTGTGTTTCATTAACACTTCTACAACAAGGTTCCAAAACGTCACGCAGTAGTGTATTTGATACACTGCTCCAATCAAAGTTAACATTTTACAATAGTTCAAAACAACAACTTTACCTGGATCGCTGATGTCCTAGAACGACGTTCAGAATTGATTTCAGTCATAAGTTTTTTTAACAATCCACCAAATATTGCTGACGTCATACGAAAGAATAATCCAAATATCGTGTCAGTATTGAAATGCAAAACGGACCCAGCAATGTTTGATATATAACCGAACGTAGGATCCAAAAAATGCTTACGTCATACACAAAATCAAGAACACGTCGGAAAGGTTTTGATTGAAAACAAATTAAAACATCCTATCAATCATCCCAGACCGTCAGTATGTATACAGATAGCGCTGAGCATTTGGTCACCGGCCTAGTGTTATGCCTTACTATACAGATAGTGTATACGCGTTTTACACAGCATTGCACTAGTAAATGTAGGCCAGATATGTACGGAGAGAGAGCTATGTCCACCACTACGTTGTCTGATAAGACGGAAATACTCAACAGTATTCAAACAAACAGCGATATGTTCCCTTCTCCATCCCTCCACTCATTGAAAAACGTGAGTCCGCATTTAACAGCTGTAAGAGTTAAGCACACATATAAAACTCTACGCCAATAGCAACACATTTACTATTAGAGGACTATAATGAAATGTCGTATTTATAACAAGTGCATATACGTACGTGGCAGTCGCGGACGAAGTGAAAGTACACTTTAATTGCTCTGTGCAGGGATAGACGCATGCTGATTGGCTCTAGTAAAGTCTGAGAGCGACACAGCACCGTTTTTTGTTGTATTTGTCTCAATTCGGGATCTTGTATGAATAGAACGATTATCCTAAGGATTTTTCATTTCCTTATCTTTATTGTTATCTCACGGATAATCCAACACTTTATGGTTACAGTAAATAGAACGCATTATATGAATGAACATTAGTATGTGGGAACACGTAACTTTTATCACATGATGGGAAGATTGTTTACACAAGTTACGTTTTAAAAAAAATCGATATCAATGGCATAATACATATATATATATAGATATATAGGAAAGCCAATCTTTGAAATATACAGGCACGACTGAGATCAGCAATAACTATGCGTGTTTTGTTGTGATGAATATGGTGGCCCACCGCTTTCAAATGTCACTTAATTTTACGGGGCTTCGGGTATTGTTTAACTGCACGAAGGCACGTGTAGGTTAATTGAATAAATCTATTTTGTTTATCTTACCAACATCTATTCTTCCTTTGACACGTGACAAGATAAGCAAGTCAAATAGCTGCAGACACAAATACTTTACAAATGCAATTAGTTTCGTTATCTTTATGGCTATCATAATCAATAAATCAGACATGGACGAGAACCTCTACATTATCATGAATTCGTATTACAGAAAACAATTTAATTAACGGAGTACACTTAATTTAAAAAAAAAAAACAAAACGTACCTTAGTCCTTCAGATTTGTTCCAACATCAGCGAACATTTTACATAAAATAAAAACCGGCACTCACATAAATAATTCCTGTTTCAAGCATCCACATCAACGCACCAGTGCGTGACAGTCGATAAACCCTACACTTAATCGTTTTTATTTGACGTTGTTTCCGGCTCCTAAACTTCCTGTTCGACAGTGAAGCTTATTTGTTTTGTAGCACATCGATTTCTAGGAAATACCTATGAAGAATTATTTTTCTAATGTTCATAAATCGACTTCATAAAGTCCAAATTTTACACTTTATTGTATACTGGCAAATGTTTGTCCTGGTTTAATTTTCACTGTTTTCATCCATGAATAGGGAGGACTAATTTAAAATGAGGGGCGAAATATGTTACATGTATCTGGCCCTTTTATGTAACCTTGGTAACCTTGTCAAATTATCATGACTAAAACAAGGACAAAAACTTTTATTAAATCAATTACAAATGTGTTCTTGCATACTAATTTAGATTTAAAAAAAAAACTTGGCAAAAGTATTAATGTATTTCCACAAAGAAACACAAAGAATATGCCTGAACAATTGATATCTGTTCAATGTACGGTGCGATTGACGTTGAGGAACATGCAATTCAATCGCCATCCGCGACAAAAATGGAAGTCTTTATCGAATAGAATATAAAAGGCTGTTCAATTTAAGTAATAACGGTTTATAGGATGATGAAATGACTCTAACTGATGAATAGATGGTGACCTTCAAATCTTGAAATCTATTAATATCAAGTCATAAAAACAACATCAACACGTGGTAAACATATCACAAGAAAACCCAGTTAACAATATATACAATGTTTGATGGCTGGCGACAGCTGTCATCATTTGGCAACATCTGATCAAGTTAATGTCAGCTAAAGCGGCACTCACAGCACATACGGGTAGTTAATCAGGCAATTAGACCAACTGCAAATAATATTATCGTAACGATGCCGAGAAAGCACGTGTACAATCGTATTTATATCTAAAACAGGCATATTACCTGCTACTGCTATTCACAATACACAATAGGAATTAGTGCATGCCTTTGAACAAGTGATACTCTTAATGAGGTAGTAACATACAAAGCGTTTCCGTATATCATCCGTTGTCATCAGCGCTTAGCTTGCCCCCTCCCCCTCCCTCCTATTCTTCCCCCTTCCCAATCCATGGCGACACACCCAATAAATGGAAAAAAATGTAAGGGTGCATTCGAATGGACATAATATAAAATTTCGTGAAAAAGTATTGGACTCTAGAAATTCCACCGAGTCCTGTGTGAGTAAGTCATTTGATCGATTTTGGTTAACCACCGTCAAATATAAAATGAGACTGACTGAAAAATAGAGCTGAAATCAGTATAACTGTTTACTCATATCTCTCAAAATTCAAGTTTTACGTACATTGTGCCATTATTTGTGACAAAAATCGAATCCGGTTATCGTCATTTACACTTCCGCATGTTATAACTTGTGACATTACAAAAAAAGGTTTTAAAATATCATTGTACAAACCTGAACACTCGTACGTCCTTCCTTCACGTCCTGTTCACAAGTCATATTTAATATGTATTTGTATGATTGTATGTTTACCGACACACTGATCGAGCCTGTGTATGTCGGTTAAACCTTACGCGCGTCGTAACCATTCTGTTTGTATGCATTAATGCGTTTTACGGTCTTGCCGTTGTCAAACAATAACATGTAAAAGCGTTGAAATCATTGTGTAGCGATGACCGAACACCACAAAAGAGAGCAAATTGTATTTGGTATTGTCGACAGGTTATCATTGGTCTACCTATCTTCAATAGGTTTTATTCGGAAGTCCCCAGTGTATTATAAGTTATTCATAAGTCCAAACCAGATGTGTTGAGAGGTGATTGGCTACGCTACGATATTGATATTTTCATGGCATATATTATTGTCTATCACGCTCTACTCAACACGTGTTAACGATGCACAGGGGTCCATCGTTCCATCGTTAACCACAGAATGATTCATGCATGATATATGCCGAATGAATCATTTAACAATATTTTTAAAATATTAATTTTTTTTTAAATAATAAAAGGGCAAAATTAAAAATACCAACATCATGAATTTCTGAGTGTTGTTCACTTAAACTGCTATATTCATCTTTTTTTTTATTAATCTATATTCGAGTCGTACCCAGTTCGGGAGAAAAAATATACACACAAATGTACTTTTAACAATAATGAAACCAAAACCTGCAAATATTTGTTGTCATGTTTGCGATACGAATGCGCCTTTTTCAGTTTGCAAAATAAATTCACTGTAAAACATTTATCTTATTTGCAATCAGCGTTTATCACACGATCTATCTCAAAATGTAATGTATGCAAAAGTTGGCGTGATAATCTGACATGAAAGGTAAATGACATTGTACCCGTTAAATATGTCTGGAGATTTAGTTAGAAAAGATTGTGATTGCGTCAAGAACCACAAGGACAAAATCCAAACTCAAAGTCAAATTCAAAGAAACCGGAAGTCACGATTCAGCATAAATTACAAGTGGTAAAATATTCAGAAAGGAAAAAAACGTTTGTTGCAAGCGTGATACCCACTACGGTGTATCGTATAGATAATAGAAAATTAACTTCATATGAACCATAGGGGTCACAGACATCGTCAGACATTGCAAGTAAAAATGTGTCTGATGTTGAGGTAGAGATGGTTATGGTCGATTACAAACGATACCCCATTTTATGTCACCTAGATGTACACATAAGGTGAAATATTTGTAACCAGATCAGGCGTTTCAGGAGAAACTGGTTTAAACAGACTAACAAGGACTGCTGGAGTACCACATCTCTGAACCGGACCACAGACTGCGATATAAAAACATTTAGTATGTATCATGTTTACATAATTAACAATACGTTGTATGCTTTATGTGCCACCTAAATGTCTCCAGATTTCGACGTCGGTATTGTTTTTGCACATCTTATTTCATCTTTTTGATTTTCCCGAAATGAAGATGCCCGAAAATCTGACATATGTATTTCTATATTTTGGTGTTTAGTACTTAAAGAAGTTTATCTATTGATGGACATTTAGCTATAAAAAAATATATGCCTGCATTTATGAATAAAGGCTGAAACATGTCTAACATCATTGTGTGGTTGTGTAGGACTTTTTTTAAAATTCATGTGTCTGCTTGTATATAAGGACTCGTTTTCCGTGTGCCTTTTGTAATTGGATATGTCGCTTCCGTGACGTGGTTACCTTTGTCATGTCATTGAATATTTTTATATTTACACAAACCAGTTTGTCATTGACCTGTCCACACAGTCCTATAAAATAGCCAACATTTAAATGCCAGATATATGTAAACAATTTCGTTTAAGCCTCATCGTCAGATTACATGCTAGAAGCTACGTATGGACGATTTAGTAAACATGTTCACATTTGCTTAATAACTCTTTAGTCTTCGCTAGTATAATATATAAAAGCTTCATTGTTTGTGATAAGATCAAACTCAATAAACAATAAACAAATGGTTTCTGAAATACCATTAGTTATTTCCGTCAACAAACGCTAGTATGAATACGTGTGGCATTTACACATATTAATTCACTCCACTTCGAAATTCGAAAGTTATGACGTGACGTCTTTGTCACACTGTGACAATACAGCAATACAATTGTCACACTGTGACAATACAGACGGAACACGTCTTTGACACTGTGACAGTACAGAAGGAACATATCTTTGACACTGTGACAGTACAGAAGGAACATGTCTTTGACACTGTGGCAATACAGAAGGAACATGTCTTTGACACTGTGACAGTACAGAAGGAACATGTGTTTGACACTCTGACAGTACAGAAGGAACATGTCTTTGACACTGTGACAGTACAGAAGGAACATGTCTTTGACACTGTGACAATACAGACGGAACACGTCTTTGACACTGTGACAGTACAGAAGGAACATGTCTTTGACACTGTGGCAATACAGAAGGAACATGTCTTTGACACTGTGACAGTACAGAAGGAACATATCTTTGACACTGTGACAGTACAGAAGGAACATGTTTTTGACACTCTGACAGTACAGAAGGAACATATCTTTGACACTGTGACAGTACAGAAGGAACATATCTTTGACACTGTGACAATACAGACGGAACACGTCTTTGACACTGTGACAGTACAGAAGGAACATGTCTTTGACACTGTGGCAATACAGAAGGAACATGTCTTTGTCACTGTGACAGTACAGAAGGAACATATCTTTGACACTGTGACAGTACAGAAGGAACATGTCTTTGACACTGTGACAGTACAGAAGGAACATGTCTTTGACACTGTGGCAATACAGAAGGAACATGTCTTTGACACTGTGACAGTACAGAAGGAACATGTCTTTGACACTGTGACAGTACAGAAGGAACATGTCTTTGACACTGTGACAGTACAGAAGGAACATATCTTTGACACTGTGACAGTACAGAAGGAACATGTTTTTGACACTGTGACAGTACAGAAGGAACATGTCTTTGACACTGTGACAGTACAGAAGGAACATGTCTTTGACACTGTGACAGTACAGAAGGAACATATCTTTGACACTGTGACAGTACAGAAGGAACATGTCTTTGACTCTTTGACAGTACAGAGGGAACATATCTTTGACACTGTGACAGTACAGAAGGAACATGTCTTTGACACTGTGGCAATACAGAAGGAACATGTCTTTGACACTGTGACAGTACATGTCTTTGACAGGAACATGTCTTTGACACTACAGAAGGACTTTGACTCTTTGACAGACAGAGGGAACATGTCTTTGACACTGTGACAGTACAGAAGGAACATGTTTTTGACACTGTGGCAATACAGAAGGAACATGTCTTTGACAGACAGGAACATGTCTTTGACACTGTGACAGTGTTTTTGACACTGTGACAGTACAGAAGGAACATGTCTTTGACACTGTGACAGTACAGAAGGAACATGTGTTTGACACTGTGACAGTACAGAAGGAACATGTTTTTGACACTCTGACAGTACAGAAGGAACATGTTTTTGACACTGTGACAGTACAGAAGGAACATGTGTTTGACACTGTGACAGTACAGAAGGAACATGTTTTTGACACTCTGACAGTACAGAAGGAACATCTGTTTGACACTCTGACAGTACAGAAGGAACATGTGTTTGACACTGTGACAGTACAGAAGGAACATGTTTTTGACACTCTGACAGTACAGAAGGAACATGTGTTTGACACTGTGACAGTACAGAAGGAACATGTGTTTGACACTGTGACAGTACAGAAGGAACATGTGTTTGACACTGTGACAGTACAGAAGGAACATGTCTTTGACACTGTGGCAATACAGGAGAAACACGTCTTGGACACTATGACAAAACATTAATACGTTTGTCACACAATACAGGAGCATGTTTTGAGCATTGCGACAACTTTTCTTGCCAACAATTCAAGTAAAACCGTGGCAAAGAATCCTACCCTAAGAAAGAGCATTTAGTTTATTTACTGTTCATTGTGCAAAAATGAAACTTTTCTACCTCAAGGAATAGGAATACCCATATATATGTCAGGAAACTCTTAATTAGAATATAGAAAAAAATAAGACGAGCGTGACTTATAACATTTTGGAGTTACAGGGAAACACTTTAAACAAAAGGAAAAGGAGAATAAGGTTACGACAATTATTTATGAAATCAAATCCAATTTTATCTAAATCAGCTTAACTCATAAGATTGCATAAAAGGAAAACCTGAAGACTGAAAACAATATCTTATTTAAAGTTTTTCCCAAAATCCCTTCAAGTAATTGGAAAAAGCAGTTCAGATACAAGATTTATCACCAAACCATTTGAAACTGATTAAAGAGTTTAAGCTTGAGCATGAAAAAGATATGGACCCAGGTGTTCCGGAAAGGTTAGTAATTTCTGCTCCATTTTCAAAACAACCAAAGAAAGTCTTAATCTATGTCACGTTAATGTCACTCTGCTACAACGAAATCGCTATACACATTATTGAGAATTTAACACATGTCGTTTATTATCACACAAAGAAATGTTTCAATTTTCCAATGAGACTATGGTGGACAAAAGAAAATTTCCCCATAGCTTTTTGTCAAACAAGATTCTCTCGAAATCCTTCAGTGTAATGTTTTTGACAGTCAGTTTTCTGTATTGGAAATCAACCTTCGATATGTAAGCACACAACGACGTTAAAGACCGTAACACATAAAAAGCAGTGTTCATAAATCGATATCATGTGTGTTTAGATGGAAAGAAAACTGACAGTTTTTTCATATTTCGCTAGCATTGAAACGGATATTGATCGTAGTCAGACACCATAAAAAACATAACTGTGATAATCGACTATGCCAAATATTGTCACTGACTCGACGTCAGCATTCATTTCGGGTGTGTTAAAGGTTGAACAAAATACATCTACAACTGATCAGTGTTTTCTACTTTTCCAATGCCACCGTGGCATTTTGCTATTTAACACCAAGAACCCAACAGCTGCTGTAAACACGACGACGACTATAGTTTCC